GTCAGGGCCACCAGCACCATGCCAGGGTCACCCAGCACCGTGCTAGGGCCACCAGCACCACTGTGTAAGGGCCACTCAGCATCACTGTGCCAAGGCCACCAGCACCGTGTCAGAGCCATCCAGCACTGTGCCAGGGCCATGAACACCTGGAGAGGTGGGACAGCACGGTGACAGAGAACACTGCCAGCACCCAGGGCGCTGGGACAGCAGGGTGACAATGACCCCCTGCCACTTGTCCAGCGCCACCAGCCAAGTGTCACCAACCCACCCCACGGCGCCCTGGCACGGCTGAGGGACAGCAGCTGCCGAACCGTGTGCCATGCGTGCCGGTGGCACCCGGACCGCGCTGAGATCTGCCGGGCTCGGAGGCGCCGAGCTGCCCCCGACAGCCCCAAGTGCACCCGCGTCCCTCAGCCGGGGGACACCGGCACGGCGGCACAACCGCTGGTGGCACGAGCAGGGACCGCGGGCCGTTCCCACCACCCCGACACCGGGGTGCCACTCTGCTGGGAGCAGCCAGACCCCCTGATGGGCAGAGGCACAGCTGGGACCCCCGGCGTGGGGCCGGGGGGGGCTCCCCCCGCAGGCAGCGCCCGCTCCCATGTAAGGGCATGGCCGCGGCCGCTGCTCCCCACGCCGCGACACCGGGGCGCCCTCGGCCACGCGCAGGCACCGGGGGCACCGCGGGCAGCACCGGCGTCGGACCCACCGCCCGGCGCGGGGCTCGTCCCCCGACACGCCACCCATGTCACCGCACACATCCCGACCCCCGGACACACCCCGACCCCCGGACACACCCCGACCCCCACCCCACAGCGGCTCAATCCGCGCCCACCGGTCACGGCCCGGCTCCCCGGTGACACCCCGACCCCCGGGCACGTTCCGGTGCCCCGGGCCGTACCTGCGATGCGGATGACGGCTCTCTCGGCGGGGTCCAGCACCGTCCCGTTGCCCGCGGCCGCCTTGGCTCGCTGGGAGCGCTGGTGCTTGCCCAGGTTCCAGGGCAGCGTGTCCCCGGCGCCGGGCGAGCCGCTGCTGCCGCTCGAGCTCTCCTCCGCCATCGCCGCCGACCCCGGCTCCTGCGACAGAGGGACGGCGTCAGGGACCCCCGGTACCGGGACCATCGCCTTCGTACGCCAGGGACCCCCGGCACCGAGCACCAGGGACCCCCGGCACCGGGCCCCAGGGACCCCCGGCACCGGGCACCAGGGACCCCCGGCATCGCCACCTCCTTCTTTGTCCCTTCAGGGACCCCCAGCACCGAGCACCAGGGACCCCCGGCACCGCCATCTCCTTCTTTCTCCCTTCAGGGACCCCGGTACCGGGTACCAGGGACCCCCGCCATCATCACTGCCCCCCCCTCTCGGTTCAGGGACCTCTGGCATCGGGAACCAGGGACCCCCGGCATCGCCATCTCCTTCCCTCTCTCTTCAGGGACCTCCGGTACCGGGACCATCGCCTTCGTACGCTAAGGACCCCCGGCACCGAGCACCAGGGACCCCCGGCATCGCCAGCTCCTTCCCTCTCGCTTCAGGGACCCCCGGTACCGGGCACCAGGGGCCCCCGGCATCGCCAGCTCCTTCCCTCTCGCTTCAGGGACCCCCGGCATTGCCACTGCCCCCCCTCTCAGTTCAGGGACCCCCGGCACTGCGTCAGCAGAGACCCCCGGCATCTCCATCTCCTTCCCTCTCATTCAGGGACCCCCGGCACCGGGGCACCAAAGACCCCCGGCATCGCCACTGCCCCCCTCTCGTTTCAGGGACCCCCGGCACCGCCGACCCCGGCTCCTGCGGTAGAGATGCGGCGCCAGGCACACCGGGCACCGGGACCGCAGCACCGGCAGCGCCCGGTGCAGCACACGGCGGAATCACGGAGCGCCCGGAGGTACCGGAACCACTCGGGACAGCCCCGGGGAAGCGGGGGCCGAGCCGAGCCGTGCAGGGCGGTGTCGCTAGGGACACGGTCCCCACGGGGTCACCGCGGCGAAGGGATGGGCAGGGAGCGGTGATGGCTGGTCCGGCACCGGGAGCTCGCCCGTGGCGGTGCCGCCGCAGCCGGGGAGCGCACGGGAAGAACAGCCGGAGCGAAGGCGTGGGAGACGAGACCGCACCGGCAGCGGGGCAGCGCTCAGGGGGGTTCGGAGCGGCTGCGGGGTTCGGGGGGCCCGCGGGGTCGGTGCCGCGAGTGCTCCCAGGGGAGCGGTTCGGAGGCTGCCGGTAGCGGCGGGGATGACTCTGCGATGCCGGCACCTCCGTGATCCTGCCCCCTCCATCCCGGCACCTCCGCCATCCCGCCTCCATCATCCCGGCACCTCCGTGATCCCGCCCCCGCCATCCCGGCACCTCCGCCATCCCGCTGCCTCCGCTCTGCCGGCATCTCCGTGATCCTGCCCCCAGCATCCCGACACCTCCGCGATCCCGGCACCTCCGCGATCCCACCTCCGCCCCGGCTCCGCCGCAGCCCTGACACCGGCCCGGGCTCGTTCCCCGGGGAGCCGGCAGCACCGGGCGTTTGCCGCGGCCGAGGCGCCATTTGCAGAAGCTCCGAACCCGGGAAAGTCACCGGGCCCGGCACCACCGGGCCCGGCAGCGGGACCCACCGGCATCACCGACATCACAGCGCCCGGCCCTCCCGGCGCCCTGGGACCGCGGCGTGACCGACATCACCGGCGCCCCCAGACCCACCGGCATCACCCCGGCCTCCCGGTACAGCCAGAACCAAGGGCCAACCCCGGCCAGCGCTCCCGGTACAGCCGGAACCAGGGGCCAACCCCGGCCAGTGCTCCCAGTACAGCCAGCATGGCACGGGTTAACTGTGCCCAGCGCACCCAGTACACTGCGTACGGAGAAGGTTAACCCTCCCCTGCACACCCCTTCCGGAGAGGATTAACTCTCCCCAGTACATCCAGTATGGAGAGGGTTAACCCTGACCAGTGCTCCCAGTACGCCGAGCAGACACGGGTTAACTGACCAGTGCTCCCAGTACACCCAGTCCGGAGAGGGTAGCCGTGACCGGTACACCAAATATCGAGAGGGTTAACCCTCACCACTGCAACCAGTGTGGGGAGGGTGAACCCCGCCCAGCGCTCCCAGCCAGGCTGGTTCCGCCCCGCGCTCCCGCAGGGAAGTCCCGCAGCCGCTCGGCTCTGCCCGCCCCGCCTGGGCGCTCAATTGTGGGCCCGGCACGGCCCGGCACGGCCCGGCACGGCCGCATCACCGGTACACTGCTGGCCCGTCAGCGGCGCGTCTGGCGGTGCCGCATTCAGAGCCCAGGGGAGCGCGGTGGCGGAGGGGTTGGACTAGCTCGGCCTTGGCACGGCCCTGGCACGGCCCTGGCACGGCTCCGGCGCGGCGCTCACACCCTGCCGGCCACCAGCCTCTCTTCTGGCCGGAGAACAGAGCACGGCTCCAGCCACCAGCGCTGCGGCAGGACGTCTGCTCTGGCGGCTGGGGAGGCTGGGGAGCCGGGAGTCCGGCTGGGGAGATGGGATTGGGGACTGGGGTCAGTGCCGGGAACCGGGGCTGGGGCCGGGCACCGGTGCTGGCGGCCGGTGCCTTGATCCTGAGCTGGGGCTGGGAGCCAGAGCTGCTGCCAGCTCCCGGAGCTGGTACCGAGAGCTGGAGCTGGTACCAGGAACAGGAGCTGGAACCAAGAACAGGAGATGGGAACTGCAACAGGAGCTGGGAACAGGAACCAGAGCTGGTACCAGGAACAGGAGCTGGAACCAAGAACAGGAGCTGGGAACAGGAACAGGAGCTGGGAACAGGAACAGGAGCTGGGAACAGCAACAGGAGCTGGGAACAGGAGCTGGAGCCACTGGGAACCAGAGCTGGTACCAGGAACAGGAGCTGGAACCAAGAACAGGAGCTGGAACCAAGAACAGGAGATGGGAACAGGAACAGGAGATGGGAACTGCAACAGGAGCTGGGAACAGGAGCTGGAGCCAGTGGGAACCAGAGCTGGTACCAGGAACAGGAGCTGGAACCAAGAACAGGAGCTGGGAACAGGAGCTGGGAACAGGAGCAAGAGGTGGAGCCAGTGGGAACCAGAGCTGGGAACAGGAACAGGAGCTGGAACCAAGAACAGGAGCTGGGAACAGCAACAGGAGCTGGGAACAGGAACAGGAGCTGGGAACAGGAGCTGGAGCCAGTGGGAACCAGAGCTGGTGCCCGGAACCGGAGCCGGTACGGGAAAGGGAGCTGGAGCGGAGAACAGGCGTGTGTGCAGCCCCGCAGTGCGTGAGCACACCGGGGTGGGGTGGACACGGGGGGACACGGGGGGACACGGGTGGACACGGGCGTGCCCGGCCCCGGCAGGCTGCAGGCAAGCCCCGCAGTGTGCACGGCACAGGAACACACCTGTGCACACACACACGCACTGGGGGGGGCGGGTCTCGGGGGCTTCAAAGACCCCCGGTGCCCCCCACCACATCCTGTGTCGTGGCACAGCCCCCCGACCCCCAGCCCCATCGGGGCCATCGCGTGCCAAACTGACCCCGGCAACCCCAGCACAACCGCGCCCACCCCTCGGGGCGCAGAGACCACCGAGGACCCCGCACCGGGGAGGCGTGAGGAGCCCCCGGGAGCCGACACCGGGGCGGAGCAAGGTGGCACCGGCAGCGCCGAGGTCGGGACCCTCTCCCGGACACTCTGTCCCCAGCGTGGTACCTGCCGTGAGGGGGCCAAGGCTCAGACCCCCCACCCGCTCTCCCCGCGGCCGTACCGGGGCTGCCGCTCGTTCCGTCCGTCCGGATCCGGTGCTGGCGCCGCCGCTGTCGCCGCGGTCATGTGCCGGTGCCGGCACGGGCGCAGGGAGCGAATCCCCCGGCCAGAGCCGGACAAAGAGCCCTTTTTCAGCGGCGCTGGGCCCCGCGGGCCCCTCGGCGTCAGGGGACAAAGGTCCGGCACGCTTGGCACCGGCAGCACCGGGCACTCCTCGCTCGGGGCACCCGCGGGGCGCGGGGCACCGGACTCTGCAGAGGGGGTGGGCGTGCTGCCGGGACCCCTCCTGCACCCCCGACCCTCTGGGCTCTCACCTCCATCCGCCGGCGCTCCCCGGGGAGCGGGGCTGGCGCCACGTGCGCGGGGCTGGCACGGCTGGCACGATGCCCGGCGGGATCCCAGCGCTGGCACACGTCAGCGGGGCTGGCACACGCCGGCGCGGTGCCACCGCACCCTGCCCGGGACCCGCCCGCGCCCGCGGGGCCGGGGCCGCTGGTGTCACACCCGTGCCCGCTCCGTGTGCGGCCCCCAAAGGGGCGCGGGGGTCACCGAGACCCCCAGCCCTGTGCTCGCCTACCTGTCACCTGGGCATCTCAGTGGGCAACAAACAAGGGCACGGAGGGGACGCTGGGCACCCCTCCCTCCCCCCGCCGCTGTCTGCTGGAGGGTCTCACCCGGTGGGCAGCACTGCCCACGGCGGGGGCTCTGCCCACACCCACAGGGTGGGCACCGGGTCGCCCCCAGCACAGCTCGGGGTGCAGCGGGACAGAGGAACAGGCAGGGAGCAGGATGCAGGTAGGGAGGAGGCAGGGAGCAGGTGGGGAGCAGGATGGATGCAGGAAGGGAGGAGGCAGGAAGCAGGTGGGGAGCAGGGAGGAAGAAGGGAGCACGATGCAGGTAGGCAGGAAGCAAGAAACAGGTGGGGAGCAGGTAGGGAGAGGTGCAGGAGTGGCCAGCTCCAGCCCTGGGGTGGCCCAGAGCCACCACCCAGCACAGCCACCTCACAGGGGGACACAGCACCCACACACAGCCGGGTTCCTGCCTGACCCCAGCTCCCCAGTGCTCCCAGTTGGGTCTGGGACCCCATCCATCCCAATCCCAGTTGGGACTGAGACCCCATCCATCCCAATCCCAGTGATCCCAGTTGGGTCTGAGACCCCATCCATCCCAATCCCAGTGATCCCAGTTGGGTCTGGGACCCCATCCATCCCAATCCCAGTGATCCCAGTTGGGACTGAGACCCCATCCATCCCAATCCCAGTGATCCCTGTTGGGACTGAGACCCCATCCATCCCAATCCCAGTGCTCCCAGTTGGGACTGAGACCCCATACATCTCAATCCCAGTGATCCCAGTTGGGTCTGAGACCCCATCCATCCCAATCCCAGTGATCCCAGTTGGGACTGGGGCCCCATCCATCCCAATCCCAGTGACCCCAGTCGGGTCTGGGACATTCCCCCTATTCCAATGCTCCCAGCTGGGACGGGAACTTCCCCTCCCCTCTCCCAGTCCTCCCTCAATCCCAGCCACGCGAAAGGCTCCAATTTATTCCAAATTTTATTTGAAGTTTTATTCCAAGTTTTATTTCACTGGTGTCACACGGGTGACCCAAAGTCCTCCTGTCCACCTCCTGCCCTGGCACGAGGGTGCCCTGGCACCTCCCCAAGTGAGGATCCCCCCACTCTGAGCTCCTGGGCAGGCCAGGAACATCCCTGCACACCTCGAGCCCCTGGACACCGCAACCCCCGCTTTGGCACCAGTGCCAGGGGACGCCGGGAGGATAAAAAGGGGTCCACGAAGCAGAGCCACTGCCGGGGGGCTCCGAGGGCTCAGAGGGGGCCCCCGCGGCGGCTGCGGCAGGTGATGAGGTACTGGGGGTAGGCCTGGGTGTCGTTGAAGATGACGAAGATGTCGGGCTGCCGCGGGTCATCCACCACGCTGTGGTAGCGCTGGGGCACCCCGGAGCCCTCCCGGAGAGGGGGTGCCCGCAGCCCCCGCCGCCCGGCCGCGAACTCTCCGGTCAGCACCTTGGCCATGAAGATGAACTTGGCGCCGTCGGCGCCGGGCGGGGAGTAGCGGTCCCGCGCCGAGATCGCCGCGCGCGCCGCGAAGTAAACGCCGCGGCCGTAGAGCGTGGCTGCGGGGACGGGCATCAGCCGGGGCACGGGGGGTGTGCCCGCGGCACCGGGAGCACATCGGCACCCCGGGCACACGTCGGGACCCCATTCCACACCGAGGGCGCCGTGCCCACCTCGGCACCCCATTCCACACCGAGGGCACCGTGCCCACCATGGCACCCCATTCCCATCCACCCGTGATCACCGTGTTCTTGTGCAAATGCCACCGTGCCCACCCAACTATCCCATTCCACACCGAGGGTACCGTGCCCATCTTGGCATCCCATTCCACACTGAGGGCACCGTGCCCACCTTGGCACCCCATTCCACACCAAGGTCACCGTGCCCACCTTGGCATCCCATTCCCATGTACCCATGATCACCCTGTTCCTGTGCAAATGCCACCGTGCCCACCTAACCATCCCATTCCCACACCAAGGGCACCGTGCCCACCTTGGCACCCCATTCCCATCCACCCATGATCACCCTGTTCCTGTGCAAATGCCACTGTGCCCACCTCACCACCCCATTCCACACCAAGGGCACTGTGCCCACCTTGGCACCCCATTCCCATCCACCCATGATTACCCTATTCATGTGCAAAAGGCACCATGCCCACCTTGGCACCCCATTCCACACCAACAGCACTGCGCCCACCACACGACTCTGTTCCCACACCAAGGGCACTGTGCCCACCTTGGCACCCCATTCCCATCCACCCATGATCACCCTGTTCTTGTGCAAATGGCACTGTGCCCACCTCACTATCCCATTCCCACACTGAGGGCACCGTGCCCACCTCGGCACCCCATTCCCATCCAGCTGTGATCAGTCTGTTCCCGTGCAAATGGCACCGTGCCCACCTCACCATCCCATTCCACACCAAGGGCATTGTGCCCACCTCAGCACCCCATTCCACACCAAGGGCACCGTGCCCACCTTGGCACCCCATTCCCATGCCCCCATGACCACCCTGTTCCTGCGCAAATGCCACCGTGCCCACCTCACCATCCCATTCCACACCGTGGGGACCATGCCCACCTCACCACCCCATTCCCACACAGAGAGCACCATGCCCACCTCACCACCCCACTCCACACCGAGAGCACCATGCCCACCTTGGCACCCCATTCCCATGCCAATGGCACCCAGTGCCCTGTTCCCAAGCTGTCAGCCCCAGGCCCACATGGACACCACGCCCCCCCCCCAGTGCCCCGTTTCCGTGCCGACGGCACCGTTCCCACGTTGGCACGCTGCTCCTATGCTGATGGCACCCTGTTCCCACACCAAGGGCACCACGTGGTCACCCCACACCTGTCCGGCGCTCACCGTTCTTCCCGCAGAAGCTGCGGTTGAAGCCGTGCAGGCAGATCTCGCAGCTGGAGGCCTTGGTGGTGCCGTGGAAGAGGACGCGCTCCACGGCGGTGCCGGCGGCGCAGGCACGCTTCACGCTGCCCTTCTTCAGCTGGTACTGCTTGTACAGCACTGGGTGGATCAGCTTCTGCACCTGCTGGGCACCGCCGCGTCACCGCTCTGCCACGGGGACACCCTGGGGGTCCCCCACGCCCGGCCCCACCTGCACGACGCTGATCTGGCCCTGCAGCTCCTCCAGAGTGCCGCAGAAATGGCGCACCGTGTCGGCGAACTCCTCCGAGTCCTCAGCCAGCGCCATCAGCCGCACCTCCTCCTCCAGCCCAGCCACCTCCGGCCCTGCCGGGCAAAGCCCCGGTGAGCGTGGGCGCTGCGAGGGGCACGGCCGGCCCCACGGCACCCACGCGCACCGAGCGGGAAGAAGGTGCTGTCCAGCGGGGGCCGGCTGCGGCAGACGGGCGCGGCGCGGGCGCTGCCGATGTCCAACTCCTCCATGCGCTCCAAATCCACGGTGAAGGGCCGCCCATCCAGCACCAGATCCAGCCGGCGCTCCTGGCGCAACCAGGCCTGCTCCAGCAGCGCCGCTGCCTCGGGCGCGTAGGGGACAGCGGTGCCAGAGGGATCCCAGCGCACCCAATGCGTGGTGGCAGCGGTGGCAGCGTGCCCTGACGACGGCGGCAGGCGGTGGAGCAGCCACGCGAGGTCTCGGGCGGCAGGGGCCGTGTAGTCGGCGAAGCCGCGCAGCGTGGCGGTGTCACCGCTCAGGCTGAGCTGCACGGCGTGCCGGCACCGCAGCAGAGCCAGCGCGCAGCGGCCGGCGGCCGGCAGGGCCCGCAGCCGCTGGCTCGCCAACTCCTGCGCCCGCTGCCGCCCGGCCAGCGCCCGCCGCAGCTCCTGCGCCACCTGCGACATGTCCCGCTCGAAGGAGCCGAACACCGTCACCTGCGCCGCGTCTGCCGCCAGCAGCGCCTCCTCCAGCGAGGCTTCCAGCGCGGCCAGGAGCCTGGCGTCCTCCTCGGCCTGCTCCTGCTCCTGCTCCCGGCTGTAGGAGCGCAGGGACAGAGCGGTGGCGCGCGCCAGCTCCTCCTGCTCGTCCCTCGCGTGGTCCATGGAGTACTGGATGGGCAGGGCCATCTGCACCTCCTCCTCCTCCTCCGCGCCGGTGTCCGACAGCAGCTCCCTGGCACCCTCCCCGCCGGCCGCAGAGATGAACGCAGCGTCGGGGTTGCGCTCGTCGCCGGGGACAGCGCCAGGCCACGGGTCGGGGCTGCCGCGGTCGTCGGCGTCGCGCGGGCGCAGCGCTGCCAGCACCTCCCTGATCAGCTCTGCAGGAGCAGCGGGGTGTCAGCCACGAGGCCCCAACACGTCCTGGGGGAGGACCGGCACCCGTGGCCCCCTCGTCCCGCTGCAGCACCCGGAGAGCGGGCACCAAAGTGGCACCCTCGCCCCTCACCTGCGCTGGAACGAAAGCCTTCGTCACCACCGTCACCATCGCCATCAGCAGCGGCGTTGTTACCCTCAGGAAGGTCCCCGTGCCAGGAGTGTGACTGGGGCTCCTGGTGGGTGTTTGGGGGCAGCAGCTCCTCCAGCTCCAGCTGTGTGGGGATCAAGGGGTGGCATCACTCTGGCACAACAGGCACCCACTTGCCAGACCCCTCCCCACGAGGCTGCACCTGGGCATCTGGAGGGCTCCAGGGTTCACCGTCCAGCTGGATGACGCACTGGAAGCGGCTCTCCAGCTGCTGGAGGAGGCTCTGCCCAGCCGGGTCCCACAGGAAGCGGGCAACGCCGGGGAAGCGCAGGGTTGTGGGGTGCGAGGCCACCGAGTCCAGCAGGCTCTGCAGGAAATCCGCCACGGCCTGGCACTGGCCCGGCTCCCCACTCACCTGTCAGCAGATGGGCAAACGGTCAGCACCTGGGCACCGCACCTGCTCAGCTCCCCACTCACCTGCAGGCGGTGTGGGCAGCACCACGGGGCCGGCAGCCGCTGGCACCAGGATGTGCCGTGAGCACGGGGAGGTGGGAGTGCAGCAGAGACCCCTGCCCGCATGCCTGCTTGTACCTCCCCACACCTGCCTGCACTGCTGCCTGCACCTGCCCGCACCTGCCCACACCCCTGCCCACACCTTCCTGCACCTGCCCACACTGCTGCCTGCACCTGTCTGTACCTGCCCACACCTGCCTGCACTGCTGCCTGCACCTGCCCGCACCTGCCCACACCCCTGCCCACACCTTCCTGCACCTGCCCACACTCTCCTGCACCTGCCCACACCTTCCTGCACCGCTGCCTGCATCTCCCCACACCTGCCTGCACCTGCCTGCACCTGCCCACACCTTCCTGCACCGCTGCCTGCATCTCCCCACACCTGCCTGCACCTGCCTGCACCTGCCCACACCTTCCTGCACCGCTGCCTGCATCTCCCCACACCTGCCTGCACCTGCCTGCACCTGCCCACACCTTCCTGCACCGCTGCCTGCATCTCCCCACACCTGCCTGCACCTGCCTGCACCTGCCCACACCTTCCTGCACCGCTGCCTGCATCTCCCCACACCTGCCTGCACCTGCCTGCACCTGCCCACACCTTCCTGCACCGCTGCCTGCATCTCCCCACACCTGCCTGCACCTGCCTGCACCTGCCCACACCTTCCTGCACCGCTGCCTGCATCTCCCCACACCTGCCTGCACCTGCCTGCACCTGCCCACACCTTCCTGCACCGCTGCCTGCATCTCCCCACACCTGCCTGCACCTGCCTGCACCTGCCCACACCTTCCTGCACCGCTGCCTGCATCTCCCCACACCTGCCTGCACCTGCCTGCACCTGCCCACACCTTCCTGCACCGCTGCCTGCATCTCCCCACACCTGCCTGCACCTGCCTGCACCTGCCCACACCTTCCTGCACCGCTGCCTGCATCTCCCCACACCTGCCTGCACCTGCCTGCACCTGCCCACACCTTCCTGCACCGCTGCCTGCATCTCCCCACACCTGCCTGCACCTGCCTGCACCTGCCCACACCTTCCTGCACCGCTGCCTGCATCTCCCCACACCTGCCTGCACCTGCCTGCACCTGCCCACACCTTCCTGCACCGCTGCCTGCATCTCCCCACACCTGCCTGCACCTGCCTGCACCTGCCCACACCTTCCTGCACCGCTGCCTGCATCTCCCCACACCTGCCTGCACCTGCCTGCACCTGCCCACACCTTCCTGCACCGCTGCCTGCATCTCCCCACACCTGCCTGCACCTGCCTGCACCCCTGGACTCGATGACCTTTAAGGTCTCTTCCAACCTGGTCTTTCTGTGAGTTCTCCCACCGCTGCCAGCAGCTCACCCGGAACCCAGAGACGTCCCCTCCCTCCAGGGGCAGCAGGGACACTTCGGGGACGCTGCTGAGCACGTCCTGGTAGTGCTGCTGCAGGTACCGCACAGCTCCCGGCTCCGCCGGCACCAGCGACTCGTCCTGCGCCGGCACCGCCAACATCGGCTCCGGCACCACCACCGACACAGGCCCGGGGAGCTGGGCCTGGCTCGGCACGGCCCGGAACCCCTCGGTGTCCTTGTCCCCGCTGGGGAAGGCGGCTGGCGGCCGTCCCGGCCCCGGGTGTGGTGTTGGTGCTGCCGGCGCTGCGTCCGGCGCAGGGTCCGTGTGTGCCGCGGTGCGCTCTGAGGATGGCTCCGAGTGCAGCGGGCAATCTGTGCCCAGCGAGGGCTCCCTGAGCAGCAGGGGCTCCACGTCCGGAGGTGGGACCCCGTCCGGGGGCACGGCCGTGCTGGCCTCCAGCTGCTCCAGGAAGGGAAAGTGGGGCACGAGCTCCAGCACCGTGTCCTGCAGCCGGTGTGGCCTCTGCAGCACCCGCTCCGCGGCTGTGGGGGACAAAGGGACGGGCAGCCGGTGGCCCAGAGTGGCTCCCTGTGCTCCCAGGATCACCTTGTTCCTGTGCAAATGGCACCGTGCCCACCTTGGCACCCCATTCCCACACTGAGGGCACCGTGCCCACCTTGGCACCCCACTCCCATGCTCCGATGATCACCCTGTTCCTGTGCAAATGGCACCGTGCCCACCTTGGCACCCCATTCCCAGGCATTTGTGATCACCCTGTTCCTGTGCAAATGGCACCGTGCCCACCTCATCACCCCATTCCACATCGAGGGCACCGTGCCCACCTCGGCATCCCATTCCCACATTGAGGGCACCGTGCCCACCTCGGCATCCCATTCCCACATTGAGGGCACTGTGCCCACCTTGGCACCCCACTCCCATTCCCCCATGATCAGCCTGTTCCTGCACCAAGGGCACCGTGCCCACCTTGGCACCCCATTCCCACACCCCCATGATCACCCTGTTCCTGAACAAATAGCACTGTGCCCACCTTGGCACCCCACTCCATCCGTGATCACCCTGTTCCTGTGCAAATGGCACCATGCCCACCTTGGCACCCCATTCCCACACTGAAGGCATCGTGCCCAGCTCACCACCCCATTCCCACACTAAGGGCACCGTGCCCACCTTGGCACCTCATTCCCATGCATCCGTGATCACCTGTTCCTGTGCAAATGACACCATGCCCACCTCACCACCCTGTTCCTGCACCAAGGGCACTGTGCCCACCTTTACCACCCCATTCTCACACAGAGGGCACCGTGCCCACCTCACCACCCCATTCCCACACTGATGGCACCGTGCCCACCTTGGCACCCCATTCCCATTCCCCCATGATCACCCTGTTCCTGAACAAATAGCACTGTGTCCACCTCGGCACCCCATTCCCACACTGATGGCACCATGCCCACCTTGGCACCCCATTCCCACATCGAGGGCACCGTGCCCACCTCGGCATCCCATTCCCAATCGAGGGCACCGTGCCCACCTTTAGCACCCCATTCCCACACCGAGGGCACCGTGCCCCCCTTGGCACCCCATTCCCATGCCCCCTGGCACCCTGGCTCACCCGCTGCCTCCTGGAAGGTGACGACGGCCCCGCGCCCCGCTGGCAGCGGCCGCACGTCGCTCACGCGGCCGCCGCCGCTGCGCCGGTTCTCGAAGTAGAGCTCGAGCAGGTCGCGGCTCAGCGCCGGCCCCGCCGCCCGCACCAGCACC